ATTGGATTACCTGGTTATATAAGAACGTGTAATTTAATTATTTCTGTGCATTCAATCTTGTTCTTAGTTGTGAACAAGGCTAAGGTTGTAGTTCGGGTTGTATTGGGAGGTACAGACCTAAGTAAGGACAGTGGCCGAGTAAGCGAATCCCCACTAACAGCCACATCGATTAAGGAAAGTCATTCTGGTCAACCCGAACTACAACCTTAGCCTTGTTCAGCAACGTGAAAGTACATCCATCCTCCGGAACCCAGGGGTAAAATTCTGTCGCTCGTTTCGAGAAGTTGTTTATCAACTAGACGACCCCGCGTTACTTGTAAACTGAGCAAGTCCTATCCTGTTCGGTCATATGTTAGTCTTGTGATGCTCGTAAGTCAGAAACCACTAGTGATTTCTGCAATCTAAATAGCTCTCGGCAGTGCGACTTAATCACAATAGCGCAGCGCAGCCGTGACGTCATAAAAGCGAAGACAAAGGCGAAATTCGAACAAACAAACTTACAAGTTTACTTTCAGCAGATAATTTTCACAGCCGATCGCAGTTGACCTTAGTTTATATGGGTTATTATTGTAACTTTAAGTAAAAATAATAAAATCGGTTCGTATAATCCTCGTAGCGGTTAAACAGAATGCAATGTTTGTCCGAATCTTTAAGCTATTTTTAGAATCAGCGCGCGCTGCGCTATTCGCACCATTTAGTTGAGTTTTAAATCGCACTGTTTTGAGGAGCCAATGAAATTGCAGAAAACAAAGCAGTTGACAAATTACTCTGTTTGAGTCACTTTCCCCTGATAAATCAGATCAGAGGAAAACGAAGYTCAAAGATGCCTTAAGATGCAAGGGCCTGTTCCTCGATATGTTGCACTACAATCTCTGCAACAGCCATAGAGACTGGAGAACCCATTGCTGTATCGTGTAGCCGTTTATAATGTTCACCGTTAAACAGATTCGAGACATAACTTCAAGAGATCCATAATAACRCAAGTAGGCAATGTAAGTGTAGTATCGTCATTGGTATTACACAGCAAAGTCCCAGTACAGTCTAGGGCCATTTGTAGTGGAATAATGGAAAACAGAGATTTTAACATAAAAATACGATGGGATCTTTTTGCCTATGAACGTCCTTAAGAGCAGGAGAAAAGATAAATTTTAATAGATCTCTCTCGGCTAGCCCTTGCTGGTATACCAACCAGGTTTTATAGTTTTATAGTTACTTAAATTTTTCAATTCTAAGAAATAATCAAGGAAATAATTTGAAAAGAGGGTTTATTCATTTCACAAATCCTGTAGTAAAAGAAGATATTCCTATTCTTAGCGAGAACAAACATAATGAGTCACTAATGACATTTGTTTTCTTGGCCTTGCAGAAAATAATGAGACATTGAATTTTAGTATTATTTCGATAATGCCTTCTGATTGGTGCGCTGATGTCAATGAGCTRTTGRCYATTAAAGGAACACTTGCTATGGATGAAAATTGAGGAAAATTGGAACTATGACTTGAAACTTGGTTAAACTTATCTATATGGCCCAGATAGTAGCCAAGCAACATGTTTCCTTCACAGTCAAAAGTGGCGGGAAAAAAATATCAATTTTATTCAGCATCTAAATTGTAAATGACGTCAATTACTCGTCCCTATTGTTGTTTTTGCTTAAACCAAAATTTCTCATCTGCAAGTGGCTCCCAGGCTAAAGTTTTCACTAATCATGTTTACATAGTCATAATTGAGTCAT